GTTGGTGAATCGGCCAGATGATGCAAAGAAGTGTCCGATCTGTAGGGCGGAGTTTCTGGCCGAGGATGGCATTTGGCAGGATTCTGAGCAGTTTCAGCAGTTGGGACGGGGTGGTCCGACTGGGTATGGTGGTGGACCTCCTCCTGGATATGGCGGTGGATCTCCTCATGCTCCTCCCGGCTTTGGTCGTGGTGCTCCTCAGATGCCTCCACAGGCGCCCCGTCCAACACCTCAGCCAACACCTCGTCCGGCACCTCGTCCAGCACCACCCAGTTATGCCAGTGCAGCTGCATCACCAGCGCCTCCAGGGCCCCCAAGTTATATGGCAGCACCTCGTCCACCTCCAACACCTCGTGCTGCTCCTGGACCTAGTCCCCACGCCGCTCCCCCAGGTCTTCGCAACACGATGCGCGGTGGAGCCAGAGTTCATGGCATGGGCGATGTGGGTAGAGGACGGGGTAACGAGCAAGACGACGACGGTGGCATGCAGGGTGGTCCCCCAATGATGAACCAGGACAGGTGGCCACCTGAGCCACGTGAACCCGAGAGCAACTTTGGTGGCCGTGGTCAACAGCTTGGATATATGGATGAACGGCAGCTTTGGTAGAGCGTGGTCTCCATGGTGAACTACTTCAGACGAACAGCCCAGGCAAACTATAGTTTTTTGGCTTACCAAGCCCCCAATAAAGACGCCTAGAACTATTCGCGACAAAACTGCAAGCTCGAGCGCAAAGCCCAGTAGCTCCTCGTGGTTAACGGTAGATACGATGCCGTTGAGCGTCTTGGTTTGCTTTTCTTTCTTTTGTTTTTTGTGTGTGCGCGGACCGAACACATCAGAGCGTGGCATAGGGCTGGTATTCGCGAATGAGTTCCACACTATACGCGAGCTTGATATGGAATGGGTGTAGGCCCGATATCTAAAGTCAAAATTCCGGTCAACGCCTCAAGATTGCAGTAGGTGATCTAAAATCAATTTCCAAGTCCACATCTCTTTCGCAAAACATTGGTTCATTCAAATCGTGGTACGCAGGGCGGTCGAAATAAGCTTTGCGACATACCCATCACGGTATCTGTCGCAATATTCGCGCAATTCGTGAAACCACACTAGACGATATTCCATATCGATTTTGTTGGTTGTGGGTGGGTGTATCAGGTACAACTGCGTCCGACCCTGGTGGCATCGGCTCATGCACCCTGCAGGGCGCGCCCTATTGATCGACCGCGAGATAAACTTACATGGTAGCGGTGAGCAAGTAAACATCGCTGTACTTGACGTTTTTCTTGTGTCGCATTTCGTGATTGATCATGCTGTGCGCTGCCCGGTGATTGACGTTGCTTTAGAGTTGACTGGACCGGATCGACAGATCCACAGCGGGAATAATGGTGTTGGTGTTGTTTGAGGAAATGGCGCACCTGCAGCGACATGGACATGTTCAAAAGCGCGTGCTGACAGTATGAGCCTAGCGTTGGGTTGAGGCAATATCGTGCATGGGAGGGTGGCTGTGTGCTTGATAGCGAGGTGCATGCAACCTCGGAAAGCACTTTCCGGATGCTGACACAGTGCAGGAAAGTCTGAAATTCCGTCCACGCAGGACCATGTGCCAAGTCTTGGGTCAAAATAAACAGGAAGGTGAAGTTGCCGCGGTCACAGCTGTGTGCCTGACGACTGGAGACAAATGACGGCTTTCAGCCGAGCCATCCGATTCAAAGCATCGGCCCCGCAATACGGTCCCGCTTACGGCGCTGCCCCTCATCGATCGTCGAGGCCTGGTGATGCGGCGCCTGCATAGAACACGTTTGGAACAATGCGGCGTTTTGACATCGTGACGTTTCGGCGGCCTACACCGGTTTTCTCGTACGTAAAATGAGGCTTCTAGACCCCCTTGGTCTGCTGAAATGCCATCATGCCAAACTATGCATATGTTTGCAGCATCGTGGATGACCGAGGGTCATCGCAAGAGTTGCTTTCGACGTCTTATGCTGTGGGCCGGTGTGACGTGGGTCAGACTGCGCATGCAGCAAAATGCATGGCAGAGAATTCGAATGAGTTTCCGCATCCACGGTGGAGATTCTTGGCTGCGGCTTCTTGCGGTTCAGCCCTCAGAAGCGGACGTTTAGTTGCAGATCCTGGTAGTCTAGAAAAAGGTCTCCCCGTTTCCTTGCATGGCGCCAGACGACGCGGCATGGGTCGTCAAAGAGCACCACGACGTCCCAGGAGACGTGCGCCAGCAACGTGGTTCTCTGGAAAGGTCTGACACCGTACCAGCGATATGCAGGTGCAAAGTGAGCTGGCTGGGCCTGCGCGACAAAGAGAAAAAGACTAGATGTGGCCGGTAAATGGCTCAGTCGTGGCGTAGCTGCTGATGTCTAACCCAACGCACGGTCGTCCCACTATGAGCAAGGGCTACCTGGGCCGTCGTCATCTTTGAGCGCAAAATAGAAGCGAATATTGGCTTTGTGTCATTTGCTCGTCTCTAAAAACCGTATTACTGGCCTTTAGGCATGTGGCGACGTGCTCCGCAGCTGGGTTAATGCAGCGATGTTGGCTAAGTTAGTCAGGTGGTGCCACTCAAATGCAGTTGTATCAAACTATCTGCGTCACGCAACATCCATCCTGTGTGCCGTCGAACAACGCAATCGAGAAACTTGCTATGAGCATCGTGATGTGTGCTATAACAGGTATTGCATGCATAGAGCTCAAAGTAGTCTGGCGCTCAACAAAACATTACACCGCTCAAAGAAGCAAGCACGAATGAAAAAACCTGGGGAAGCGCTACGGGAGCGCGATGGTCCAGGGGTAACAGAAAACAAATGGCGCATTCATGGATGGCTAACCGGCATGTATCACGCTTCTGTACTAGGAAACAATCTGCCCCCAATTACGTTGCATTGGTTCGGGCTGATCGAGATGCATGCATCGGTGTCTCTTGTGTGGAACTTATCGTGACGGCGCGATTCGTTCTGTTTCTGATTGTGCGGTGAAGCTTCCGAAGCCCTTGCGATCGTGATTGAATGGTGCCTCGATCCTAGCCCTCAGCCACGTATAAAGACATCATCTGCTGCCCATCTTTCTCTCGAAGCAGCAAACGCATCCACAGCAACTCTACAACCAATCTCGAGTTTCCAATCTAAACTCTTCGCAACAAGACGGGATCGACACCAGAGAACTACCCTCATACAAACCTCGAACTACCTACCGCAGCCAATCAGCTCCGCCTACATCACGACCCACACTATCCACCTATCATCTATCATCTATCATCTATCATCTATCAGAATTCAGACATCATGCCTGCTCTTCCATTCAACTCGTCCGCTGCTTCGTCACCTTCATCTTCACCTACCTTGTCGCCTACCATGACGCCTTCAATAGTTCTCCATCCCGCATCGGGTATATTTGATCAACCATACTAAAGCCTCCCATCTAATCTCTCCAGCAGGTGTATCATCACAGAAAAAGGAGCTTCTCAAGCCAAAGGAAGATCCTGCGCAGGCTTACCGCATTCGTTATGCACAGTACCTCGCAGCCACCTTTGGCTTCTCGATGCAGGCTGCGCTTGCCGAGGCGGATGTCCAGCTCGCGCCGAGACGCTCGTCAAGTTCGAGCATGTCGGAAGCTGAGTCGTTACGCGCGATTTGAGCTGGGCGGATTGCGGAAGGGTGTTTTATGACTTTATGATGCATATATAGGGTAATGGGCATTGGGATGGGGTATTTGGCGCATCTTGAGATATTTCGTAGTGCACAGTCAAAAGCGTTCTCTGTTCTACCACCAAGACTACCAACTCGTTGTGTCCGTCTCTTTCTTCGTGATAGTAAATGTATGCGCACGGAAGCCTCCAACCAGTCGGAAGCGTACCAAGCCGATGCGAACACGCTGTGTTGTAGGAAAGGTGCCTCGGCACGGTCGGACGCCAGAATTGTGGGAGCTGTGGGAGCTGTGGGAGCAGGAGCGCAGAGGCCGCAACTGCCACCCCCACCACATACCCGCCACGCCAGGTCCAGGTCTCCACGCACTGAGCTTGTCTATCGATAGGGAGACTCAATTTCAACGACATCGCATGTCCTGCGATGTCTTTGATATCCAGCAGAGCCCTATCGCGCCATCGTCTTGTTCCGAAAACCGCCGGTCGCTCGCTGTGTCGCCAGCCGGACGTACGCTCCCCAGACTGCTCGGCCCAATCTCTCTCGACAATGCTCACTCGGCCGCGCGACGACTGCTCGATGCGTTGCAGGTCTAGTGCAGTGCCTCTACGCGTCTCTATCAAGGCGTATTGGCTTGCGAGACGTGTTATTGGCGGTGCCGCCACACCTACCGCCGCCCAAGCCTGAAGTGGCATACGTGGCAAACATCAACCTGTCATATGCGACAGCGCTGCTTACTATCGCACCTCGACCCCGGAATCCATTTCCCAGACGAATCCTACTGCTGTCCAAAAGCATAACATGGCTCCACACACATCGCGCAAAACGCGGGGTTTGGTTCCCTCAACTTCAACGGGCAAACATTTGATACCGAAGAGTACTCCGATAGATCTCAACGCCAACAGCCGAGACATCTCGGCATCGCGGCACAGTGGCTCAAAGCCACACAGATGAGACTTAGGACCGGAGAGCGGAGGCCGGATTGCTTGGGCCCGTCAGCCAAGATTCTTATCGTTCGGTCAATGAGCGTTCGAGTTAGTCCAGCCTCACTGCGTTCGCTGACTACTGGTCTTTGAAACCAAGCTGTGGGTACATGTTTGTCCGGAGCATCAGCTGATCACTATGTTTGTACCTGCTAATGCAATACTTGCTGCGACAAAGACATGTGCAGCCATTCATGTGGCGTGGTGGACAAGAGGTTCCAAGCCTCTCTACGCTTGGATGACCCACGTCGTTCGTCTAGCGTGCTAACCCCGCCTAAACCTGGTAGGACAAGCTGCCTATAACTACTCCCCCGCAAAGGCGTATCTTTGCTCTCTACCACCAACACTATCCGTGTTATCACATATACTTGAATGGGTGAAACTGTGCTACTTGCCGTCGAGGAGACTTCTCCTAACGTCGATGAACCCCCTATATGTGGTAGTAAGGATCCGCATACTGCACCAAACCAAAGGCAACTCCAGCCGAACCCCATCGATGGCGACACTTCGCCAACACTCCACGCTCCGCACACCCTCACCTCCGAGGAAGTTGCACAGACTCTGGGAGTCGACATCCAGTAGGGCTCACTACTCATGCTCACCACTCTCATCATGCTCCTGCTAACTATCGCAGCCATGGACTCCCTCACTCTGAAGCGCAATCTCGCCTCCAACTCTATGGCCCTAACAAGGTTAAGGGAGCTGAAGGGCTTTCCATGTGGAAAATTCTGTTAAGGCAGATCTCGAACAGTCTCACCTTCGTCCTCATCATTGTCATGGCCATTAGCTTTGGCATAGACGACTACATCGAAGGCGGCGTCATCACCGCAGTTATCCTCCTCAACATCGTTGTTGGTTTCTGGCAGGACTACCGAGCCGAGAAGACTATCGAATCTCTCAAGAAACTCACCGCACCCGAAGCTACCGTCACACGCCAGGGCACAATGGACATCAAAGTCAAGGCCGTGGACCTGGTTCCTGGCGACATCGTCCAGCTCTCCGTTGGTAGCATCGTACCCGCCGACATTCGCCTCATCGATGGTGTCAACGCTTACACCAATGAAGCATTTCTCACAGGAGAGTCCGCTCCTGTTGAGAAGACACCATGGAAGACTTTTGACGAGGAAGACCTTGCCACTGGCGACCAGACCAACCTTGCCTTCTCCGGAAGTGAGGTGACATCTGGACGCTGCCATGGTATTGTAGTCGCAACTGGTATGAACACCGAAGTCGGAAAGATCGCTACTATGCTCCGTCAGAAGAAGGATACCGGCCCGCAATCTTCCAACATCTTCGTCCGAATCTGGAAGCGTTTCACGAACGGCGGCAAGACCATCCTTGGTCTTGTCGGAACCCCCCTTCAGATCACGCTGAGCAAGTTCGCACTTCTCCTCTTCGGTCTCGCCATTATCCTCGCCATCATCGTCTTTTCCGCAAGCAAATGGCAGGTTGGTGGAGAGGTACTCATCTATGGTATCTGTGTTGCCGTAGCTGTCATTCCTGAGTCGCTCATCGCAGTCTTGACGATTACGATCGCTGTCGGCGGTAAGGCAATGGCCAAAGCAAACGTCATTACCAGAGTCCAGTCGGCCATTGAGGCTGTCGGCGGTGTCACGAACATCTGCTCTGACAAGACTGGAACTCTCACCCAAGGTCGCATGGTCGCAAAGACGGCCCTCATGCGTGGCGCCGGTACATTCACCGTCGATGCCATCACAGACCCTCACAACCCCACCAGCGGAAACGTTGCTTTTGACGACCGACAGCTCAGTCTGAACGATTACAGACCGGACGCTGTCGTCACTCGCTTCCTCCGTACCATTGCTCTTTGCAACAACTCCAAGGTCATACCGCCATCTGAATCCCGCGTCGACTCTCCCAGCGAGAAGAAAGCTGCGGCTCATGAGCAATACAACAGTGCTGATGATCGCGACACTGACGCGTCCACTATCGACACCATCTCACGACCACCCACTGCCTTTATGCAAGATGTAACGAACGGAGCCTGGACGGCGCATGGTGAGCCAACCGAAGTCGCATTGCACGTCCTCGCTTCTCGTTTCAACATGGGTAAGGAAAGTCTACTTTCCTCACTCAACATCCATCTCGCTACCGAATTCTCCTTCGACTCCAAGGTTAAGAAGATGACTGTCGTCTACAAAGACAATCACTCTGGCCTCATGGACGTCTACACCAAAGGAGCGACCGAGTTCATGATGTCGGCGCTCAACGTTTCGGATCAGGAAAGGGCCGAGATCTTGGAAGCTGCCGAGAGCATGGCCAACCAAGGTCTCCGTGTCTTGTGTATTGCTCACAAGACGCTACAGCCCGACACTGACATCTCAGAACGTGATATCGTTGAGGCCAACCTCAACTATCTCGGCCTTGTTGCCATCTATGACCCACCTCGCCTGGAGACAGCAGGTGCCGTCCGCGAGTGCAAGATTGCTGGTATTACGGTGCACATGCTCACTGGTGATCATCCCGGTACTGCCCGAGCTATAGCCAAGGATGTGGACATCATCGACGATCGTACTCCTGCTTCAGCCGTCATGGTCGCCAAAGACTTTGACAGGATGTCTGACGATGAGGTCGACGCCATGGAGACGCTACCTCTGGTCATCGCCAGATGTAGCCCGACCACCAAGGTCAAGATGGTGCAGGCTCTTCACAGGAGGGGTCGCTTCTGTGTCATGACTGGTGACGGTGTCAACGACTCTCCAGCGCTCAAGCAAGCCAACGTCGGTATGGCTATGGGCACTGGAAGCGACGTCGCCAAAGATGCCGCCGAGATGGTTCTCACTGACGACAATTTCGCTTCCATCGTCAAGGCCGTCGAAGAGGGCCGACGCTTGTTTGACAATATCCAGAAGGTATGCCACTTCGCTTTTTCCCCATCAAGATCACTTACTAACATTCAATGCTATAGTTCCTCATGCATCTTCTCATCTCGAACATCGCGCAAGTCATCCTCCTCCTCATCGGTCTCGCCTTCAAGGACCAAGATAACCACTCCGTCTTCCCGCTGTCCCCCATCGAGATTCTCTGGGTCAACCTCATCACTTCCTCCTTCCTCGCCATTGGTCTTGGACTCGAAGAGTCGCAGGAAGACAGCATGTACCGACCACCGCACGACAACAAGAAGGGTGTCTTTACAGCCGAGTTGATTACAGACAAGTTTATCTACGGTTTCTTCATGGGTGCACTATGCCTGTTCTCCTTCGCCATCGTCGCTTACGTCGGTCCTGGCGGAGGCAACCTCGGCTCTGGCTGCAACGAAGGGTACAACGATACATGCGAGGTGGTGTTCCGTGCCCGCGCAACAACATACGCCACCATCACTCTCCTTCTCCTCGTCACGGCCTGGGAGGTCAAGCATTTCGCTCGCTCGCTCTTCAACATGTACCCCAACACTCCTTCCTCAGCCCCGGCTGGTCTCTCGGTCTTCACTACCATCTGGCGCAACCGCTTCCTATTCTTTGCAGTCGTCGCCGGATTACTCGTCGTCTTCCCCATCGTCTATCTCCCTATCATCAACGAAAAGGTGTTCAAGCATGGTGCTATTACCTGGGAGTGGGGCGTCGCATTCGGTTGCGTCGTCATCTACATCAGCGCCATCGAGATCTGGAAGGCTATCAAGCGTAGTCTTGGTATCTGGTCTGGTGCTCACAGGGTCATCTCTCGCGAGGATGCCGAGGCCCGTGCTGGATTGAACGGTGGTGTTGCTGTTAGGGAGAAGTAGGGACGTGTTTTCTTTTGGATGGGTAGTGGATCGAACAAATTGTCATACGATTAGGTAGAGGTGGAAGTGGGGTAGTTGGTCTCATCTCTCTTTGGATTGACCCATAGTCGCTCATTAGTATGACTCACGATTGAATGACACACATACACGCTGTCATAGCTTCACGATGAATACCATTGCAGTCACTCTTTTATCATCGCGGTTCTCAAGTGCAGATTTGATTTGATGTTGCACCTAGTTCTATCAACCTCGTCGCCATGCAAGCATGGCAAACACTCAATGCTCGATACTCAAACACACTTCGTCCCCCATCCTCCGACTTCCATGGCTGAAACCGACAGTCTTGTGGGTGAAATTCCGTCGTTCAATCACAACAGCGCAATCATCTCCGTCGATTCCTCTCCAAGCCCTTATTCATTTTGCCGGCTGGCCGCCTCTATCAGGTTCTTAAGTTCCTCTTCGCTCTGATCACAAAGTCGAGAATATTCATTTGCCCGTTTTGACAAGATTTGGAGCGATTGTTCTGAAGCCTTGCCTATTCGACGAGCCCTTGCGAGTTGACTGCTCGCGAAATTGAATCGTTCTCGATTGGTATTGCACAGGTTTCTCACGGCGTCGATCTCTTCGGCATTAGAGTTCGGAGTTGTTGGCTTTGGCTGGGTGGGCATGCACTCTGCTTTTGGGGAGTCCGACGACATGGTGCTTTGTGAAGACAGCGATATGTACCGGTGGTTGGTGACGACTGTTGTCGAAGGGAATCAGTTGCAGGAGATATTGTCTGGATATGCTGAGTTGTGTATGCAGTGTACTCTCTTTGCAAGCTACCGTTTATATAGTAAGGTCGCGCACTGACCGCAAACAGTTCACAGTCATTGTAGGATGACTTGTTGCTACCCTGGGTCATATTTGTGACCATCGTTGGCTCATGGTAGGGTACACATTCACACTAGCTAATTCCTTACATTGATAGTCTCGCGCTTCGTTGAACTACTCACTGACTGCCGACAGATCCAAACTCCATCCTCGGCATCGCCCACCCCCGATCCGCACCAATAGATCTCTTGCTAGACACAGTGCTGTTTGTGAGCGGCCCCAGACTGGGTGGTACGTCTTCCGACTTTGTTCCCCAACTGCTTTCCTGCGGACCCAAGGTCAACTCCAAGACACCGCCCTCTAAGAAGAAGCTGTGTTGGATCCAGTTCTTCGTGTAAGGCGCACCGTTGAGCGTAGCAGATTGGATGTAGATGTTTTCATAAGCTGCATCAAAGTTAATATTCCGAATCGTCGCTGTGTTGCCCGTCTGGCCATTCTTGATGGAGATGGACTCGAAGAATGGCGGTATGATGAAGTATACGTCCTGGCCGGCATTGGGGAAGAAGCCCATCATCACGAAGGCTTCGAAAGAGCCCATGGCGCCACTATCGTCATTGCCCGGGATGCCGACGACGGTGTCGTTAAACAATGAGGGTATGTATTGATGGGCGCGCTCAGCGGAGAGAGCAGGACGGCCGGCGTAGTGGTATAGGAACACGTTGAGGAAGGCCTGTTCGTCTCCGAGGTATAGAACACCGGATTCGTGCAGCCAGTTCATGCGTTCCACGAAGCGCTCGCGGCCTCCGAGAGTCTGGATGAGAGTTGCCATATCTCCCGGAGCGAAGAAAGTGTACAGCCAGACAGGACCTTCGTATGTCTCGCCACCTGCCGGGTTCAGATAGCAACCAGTGAAATTAAGTAGTGGTGAGCAGAAGATCGGATCCTGAGAGCCCCAGGTGCCGTTGAGGAATTTCGGTTGCAAGAAGCCTTCAAAGCCGGTGTCGGTGCCGTTGATGATGCTTCGTTGATCGGCCTTGAACATGTTTTGCCAGTTGCCGGAACGTTCCAGGTACTTCAGGTAGTCGGCTGTGTTGCCGAGTTCGCGGGCTAGTAGAGCAATGACGAAGTCGTTGTAGGCGTATTCGACGGTCCGGGAGATTGAGCGTGTCTCTGTGCCCACACCTTCGACATCAAGGTTTTCGGTAGGTATGTAGCCTAACTCCTTCCATGATACCAGACCACCGCGACCTAGACAGTTGTTAGTCAAGAACTGGTACCCGCATACGCATCGAATTCTTACCCTCAACGTCCCAGTTGGGTGGTTCGACTTCCGCATCCTTTACGAGAGCCTCGTATGCAAGTGTCCAGTCAATGCCGGTCGTGATGTTCTTCAGATATGCGTCCGTAATCACAATATCCGCGTTTGAGCCTCCTTGCGTAAATCCTTTGCAGAAGCTCATGCGGCAATCTGGCAGCCATCCTTCATGACGGTAGATATCGAGCAGACTTCTTATCATGAGCGTTTGGCTGTGTGGATCCAGGATCGTGATCAGTGGATGGATCGATCTGAAACTGTCCCAGATACAGTAGTAGGAGTCGTAGTACGGTTCGTCAGACTCCCAAAGGGGATTTTCGCCCGTGTAGTCTTGTGGGCTGATCATGGATCTGTACACGCCACTCCAGAAAGCCTTGAGGAAGACGAGATCAACACCGCCGTCTTCAACCGTAATGACGTCTAGCTTGGAGCGCCATGCAGCCTCGGCAGCCGCAACGACATCATCAAATCCCCACGAGGGTATCTCGCGTTCAGCGTTCGCGCATGCCTGATCCTCGCTCACAAAGCTCATTCCAACTCTGGCAAGGATCTGATTACCCTGGGTGGGCTTCTCAAATTGCACCCATCCGCCTGCTGGTGTGAGAACGGGTGATTGTCGCACATCGCCAGGAACGACATTCAGACTGGTTGCCCTGTTTGTCGCACGCGTGTTCTGCCAAACGCCAGCATCTTTGATCTTTGCACCATCAAAGTCAAGGCAGAAATGTGACCTGTACGTTCCGATTCCAAACGATGGCGAAAACACTCCGCTACCAGTCATACGCCCGGTCTCGGCATCCACGGTGATGTTTGCTTCGCTTCTTGTATTCGGTAGATCTGTTAGATCAAGCAAAATGTGCGGACTCAGCGTCGCGTTCGGCGCCGTCGGCGTTTCGGGAAAGGTGATACGATATAGAGCTGTGCGATTCGTCACCGTCGATTCCGTCCTGATGTTGTCCTTCAGTGTGATATCGAAGTAGCCAGGTCTGGCATGAACCGCCCCAGATATACGCTCGACAGCTCGTTGTGATTCGAAGTAGTGGCATCCGTTGATGTCGTCGTTCTCGCACCCTGCCTGCGCAAAGATTGGGAAATTGCCAAGTGACGGCGAGCCACCTGTTCCAGAGTCGTGCATATGCGAGAAACCGTAAATAGGTTCTGAGTCGTTAGAGGAGAATCCTCCTTGGTTTTCGCCGATCACGTCGGGCCCCGCTTTGGCCATCCCTCGCAGCTGTCAGTAGGCGCTGACTTGTATCTGAGAGGTAACCACATACCGAATGGCAATGTCGCGCCAGGGAATACGTGCCCTATATTTGGTAAGCCGATGATCATCGTTTCTCCAAAACATCATAACCGTACCCCCATTGATCGTCCCGATGAGAGGGTCAACATATTGATATCCGCTTTTTTGTGGTTGCGAGGAGTTGTACTGCGCGCTCGTAGATGTTATGAATACGCCTAGCAATAGAGCTGACGCCTGCTTCACGGAAGGAATGCCCATGATTGTAGCTGAACCGGAACACTCCTAGACTCCTAGTGGAAGCAACCAAGGTAAACATCGACTGCGCAGATTCCTCATCGCGCTTCCCCACACGAACTATTTATCCTTCCGTTCCATCACGCTTGGCAGTGACGCGATGCTCCAAGACCATGCTACCTGCCGCATAAGCAATTCAGGTAGTATTCTTAAGTCATCTTGTACCGTCCATCATCTCCTAGAACGGCGATAGTCTGGCTCTAAAGCTCTGGTGTTGCGGTGATATGCATGATTACAGCCGACTGCAGGTGGCTGCGGGGTAACGTCGACGGTACATCCATGCTGTACTAAATTGGAGCCGTGACCTCCGGTTGGTAGTGCAGGTGGTATACGGGGTGTATTCGAACGAAGGGTTGAGCCGGGGCCTGGGGTGGGACGTCTGATATTAGCCTTGCGCGTGCATCTCGGCACATTGTAACGCGTGTTGGAGGCTCAGTCGGCGAAGACGGCGTGCTCTCAGACTGACCACGACGCAAAGTTTTCACCCGGGATTGCAAAAGAAGGAAATCCAACGCGTAATGGTCTGAGCAAGGAGGATCCTGATGATCGCATGGCGTCGTCCGTGAGCAACAGCTGTGTTGGTGTTGCAGCTCTCGTCGGGAGATTGGGAAACTTAGACCGAGTGCCGCTAAACCTAACTCGCGCTCCACGTGAGATCACGTACGTCATCCTGGGCCCTTACCTAGGTATGCGCGATATCACCTCCAACTTTGCTCCAACCGTGGAGTTCATCCACATCCGCTCTGGATCGCACAACTCCAACTCGGAATGTCGCAATGAACGAGCGAACAATATGAAATAGCAAGGCTCGCTTTGCCTACTATACTGCGTATATAAGCTCATATTATGCTAGAGTCATTTGTGTACCCCTACCAAAGATAAGCCTCGAGAGGGGCATCCCACTTCAACCCTACCATCCCATCATGCCATTGTGCGGCGACGAAAAATGTGAGGACACCCAAATTCAATGATAAAATCCCGCGCGACAAGAGCTTCAAGGTCGATTCATTTCTTGAATAGTTTGGCATATGTCGCTGGGCGGTTACAAGGCTGATCGTGACATGAAAGCACATTGTGCATGAACACGGGTCGTCTGGCACGGCATCAGGCAACGATGTAGTTCACGCTCATGGTGGCGCTTAGATATGCGCTTTTATTAATTGATTGAAAAACCGGGCTGTCTTCTACCTGAGTGTCATTAGACAAGCGCTCTGCATCACCAGTTACCCGTGCGAGCGATTTGGCTAGCTGCACCCTCATACATATGCGCGTCCCCGCACCATGTAAGTAAATCTCTCTCCAACATTGCTGCGCGTACGCTCACACACAATGGAGAATTTGATTGCCAGGCTCTTCAAAATGGAAACATCGTCAGATGTCGCAACATGGCTTTCGTTCGTGGTCACAGCGGTGGGATTGGGTGGTCTCTTATCGCAAGCCAGCGCCATCAATGACAAGCTGGACCCTTTTCACAGTCATCGCACCCCGACATATCTAGGATTCTGGTACGGACACCAAGACAAGTTATCGTGGTGGAAGGTGAGAAGGCCGCCATTGTACGGCCCTGTTCTAGTCGCAAATCTGGAAAACGGGTTCTGCGGGAAACAGATCATCCACCTGACGCGCCTTCCGCTATTTGCGCCCCCAGGGAAGGCGGGCTGGGCACTCATTTTGACCATCTTCCACCCGGACAAGCTGCATTCGCTCCGATCACCGAGCCCGTCAATAGAAGAAGCAGAGAGAGCTACAGAACACGTGCAAGAGAAGACCGTCGTTGAAACAGAGGATCGTTCACGCGAGGCTCGAGACAGACGCACGCAATGGAAATCCTTGGAGAGGATGCAACTAGCACGATACCAAGCACATGCTTGTGTATCCATCCCGAGGTCTCAAGAACGACGTTGATAACCATGATGGCACTTACCAACGCTAGGGTCGCCTTCTCGTACAGCGATGCGTCTGGATTCCGGGCCGGATACGCTTCATACAATGGCCAATGGTACATTACCTGGCCAATTGGCCAAGACGCCGTCGTGCAGTTCTCACCTCATGACTCGCACAAGAAAAATACCGATGTCTACCCTCCAAGTTTCACGCAACGGACCAACCGCTGCACGCAGATGCTCGCCGGAGTTATCGTAGCGCCGTCTGGTCTGCAGCTAGCGTTCTGCGGTCGCAAGCCGGCGGGCACCTATGTGCTTGAGTACGCTGTGAAAGGCTTTCCTGGAGCGCATGGGTCTCGGCATTTGTACAATATGCTTGGAGGCAAAGTGTACGAAGTCGACTACATTTTCGCTCGGGATCAGGATTCGACAAAACAGGTTAACGAGGGCTACCTTACGCTCAAGGTGCCGAGCAAAGACTCTTCCCACGATGACACAGTTTTCTTGATCCCCAGAAAAGAACAAGAGGCTATTGCGCAAGCGCTCGATTGCCTTCCATGGAACCATTTGTCGTGGAGTATACATCGTGGCATGCGCGATATTCTTTTAGCGTACTCAAAAGCTACCATGGACCGATTTAGATCTCAGCTGGCTGCTCTTCTAAAGCGGACCGTGGCAGAGAATCAACATTTGCTCGAGCGCAAAGGTTGGGAGAGTAGCTTCGTTCGCAACAGCATGGGTGAAATGGCGGCCTCGGCGATTCTTCTCGGAAAGGGAAATTCTGGTGACCTTGTACGTGTCGTAACAGACATCATGCGTGCGCTGGTCGACGATTGGAGCATGGACCACCTGGACGAGACGCACTTCTGGCGATTGGCAGATCAAGATAAGGAGCTCGACTTACCGGGAGCTGTCGCGCTGACCAAAGTGTTCATTGTCGAGTGGAGTAACGAGTTTGACTATCAGATGTACCATGACTTACCCGTCAACCTAAAGTTTGCATGATCATGCTTTGGAAGAGTTGGCAGTATAGTCCAAGGCGGTAGTATTCCAAGGTTATGAACTTTCTCAACAAATACAATCCAAGGATACATGTAGCAGCCTCAGTTCTCGAACAAATCCACCAAAAATGACGCGTGTAGACTTGGCGACGTGTATTCAAGACAAAACTTTGCCGTTGATCCGTGATTTGCGCAATTGCTCGCGCTCTGGCCAGATTAATATAGCCTCTCGCGTCTTGGATCCAGGCTTAGTACACAGTAAGCGGACGTCGAACGTCGAACGTCGAACGACAAGCCGCTAGGGAATACCGAACGTCGAACGTCGATTTGCCAATCACGAAATGCAAGTGGGAGCTAGCGCAAGAGAAGGCGAGCAAAATCAGGTTGAAGTGGCCAGTGCGTAGCACACCACACAGCCAGGGATGCGTACAAGACAGAGCCCAACCGTCTCCCATCATGAATGCACTCGAAGGGAATCTCTCCTCTTCCACCAAAACTGGACCGACTACATCATCCGTTGTTCTTCCTCATCGTGCTTCTTTCGCGCCTCGGCAAGGACAAAGAAATAAGGTCCAACATCCATGCCGTTGTCATTTTTATTATGCTTGAGCTGCGTTAAACTTAGCATCCTCAGTCTCTATCAGCAGACGGCTGTCAACCAGGTACTCACGGTCAGGCGCACCCCCCAGTTGCCTTTGCGCAAATCATCTTGCTTGTACCGCTGCATACCGAGAGGGAATTCAGTGGTATGAGCATCGAGAAGACTGAATGCGTGCTCCGCTAGGTTGAGGTAGAGGAGGGCATTTTCCTCTTGTGCGCAGGCCTAAGGAAGCTTTAATCGATCGCTCATGCTGCTATTACCAGGATGCGTGGAAGACTTACTGCGGCGGCGTGGAACAGAAACGCAGCGTAATACAATGGTAGCACGTCGCGATCCCTCTCCTCCTCACCTGCTCTCCTGAATTCATCGAGCGCTTCGTTGATGAGGATTTGTGCGCGCGCGTGATGCGTGTCATATTCTCTTCTATACGCGTTCAGTTGATCGCGAGGTAGCCCCCAGTTCATCAGTGCATCTGCAGCTCCGCAAGCAAGGTACGCCTCGTCGACCATCGGGTACTAAGAGAGGAACGTCAGCGCGCCATCTTTTTGTATCACACATTACGGGCTTGACCAACTTTTGCTGCGTAGTCCCAGCAGTCTGGACCAAAAAATTGTGACACAGTCAAACTAAACAACTCGCTGACAATTCCGGTGCCAGCGAAAGTCTGGTAACTTGCCCATAGTCGCGCTACCCTGTTCTGTAGGCGCCAGATCATGTGTATCCGGTAGTTGTGATATGCCATGTGTGTCGGTCCGGGAATTGCGTAGACATTGACCTCGGTTACACGACTGGTTATGTGACTAAGCTGTGTCTCCGGGTTGACATATATGACTCTTGGTTCCAGCGCTTGAGATGTATGTGTGTTATCGGCTTCTTCGTACGTCGTCTCTGGAAGAGGTCTAAGCTCTATGTCTTCCACTTGATACGGGTATGACCCGTCCGCGCTCCCTGTAGTGTATTCTCCCGAATAATGATTGACGTGGTAGACTATGGCATCACCCTGCTCTTCATACATGCCACCATTCTGATTTACCGCGAGCTGGTAGTCATTGCTTAGGTACTCGACGCTCGTCGCAGGGTCGTAGTTGTTGGAAGTAGATAACATTAGCTCCATCAATTGGTTGGAGACCTCGAAATTTGTTTCCTCACTATCGGCTGCGGTGAATTCTCGCCCTCCGGCGCGGGGTGCGGTACGTCCCGGACCACAGCCACGCTTGCCCTTCGCACACCTGATACATATGTCTGGCCATACACGGCCTTTGGGCAAACACTGTTTACAAGTCAGCTTTCGCCATCGAGCTTTCTTGGTATTCAGTAATACCACATATCCTTTAGCACGGCAAGGGTCACAACTAAAGGTTTTGCGAAGCGTATATGATTTGGGGACCTTCTCGATCATGGTTGATTGATACGAAAAATGGAAAACTGTTGCAGATACGATTCGGGTGCTGCGGGCACATTCGTGGATTAAGACATGCAGCGCCTCAGGTTCGAAAGTCAAGTGAGAACAGCCCTGCCTGGGAGACTACGCTGTTTGCATGAAGTGGCACAAGCTGTTCCATGCTAGTTCGTTGCACCGCCAATAGCTTGGGGCTCGGAATCCCTACTTCGGTGTGCTTTTTCCGCGCACGTACAGTGCGGTAGCTATAGAATGTTGAGACGCCACCAGGATATGATAATGTCGAGACTACCTTGGAGGGCTATACGATGCATCGCAAACTCTGGCAGACAGACAATCTGCTGTTCGACGAGTGATTACAGGCCCAGAAGTCTATCCATATACCTGTTGACCACAGCCGATCTCAGCTGGATTCAGCCTTACCCCACGACTCGGCGACCTAAGCATCACTAGTGTCAGCCCCGAGTGATAAGCACACACGCTAGTGGGGCGCTAGCGCGGAAGAGAGACAATCGTTCGAGCTGATCGAACAACAGACGATCTAGACCCGCCCAGACAGATGTGGGCTTAACCCATCCTAGACTTTGAGTTGTCACTGAATCAGGCAAAACGAGAAGCATGCAATGATTCTGCATACAACTGTGCTGTGATGTTCACTAGCACGCGCAGCTGGAGGGATGGGCGAGCTGAACTATCGCCCACATCTTCCAGTCATGGTGTTGTTGTAGTACAACTAAAACAGTCATATGCCATTTTCGTGTCTTGTCGCTACCCTATCCATCGCTGTTCGGAGAAGGTAGAATTGGGTAAACAGATGTTGTAGAAATCGGGATATTATCCCTTCCAACTATCTGAGTGAACCCAACGATGAATACTGGGTGGAGAAAAGCATCGCAAAGACGTTCCAACAGAAAGGTTAAACCAAGAAATGTGTCGTAAGAAAGCAGTCGTCGCGCCACTGCTACCGCCGCGAAGACAGAGTTATGAAGAATGTATACCAACGGGTATGTTCAATGCGCTAACGTTGGAGACAACGAGCAGCAAGCTCACGTTCGTATTGCGAAAGACCATCCAAAACATGAAAGAGATCGTCCAGTCTCTCTTGGGAAAGCATGACCTGTGGGGGATTTTCATCCTTCGCTGAAGAGTCGAGGTCAAGCCAGTCTTGCCGGTCGTCGGAAGACACGACTTCTCCTATCTGTAGGCTTCCCATATCATCTGCTCGCACTGGGAGGCTAGATCCATCCTCTCGATTCGGTCCGAATCGCGAAAGCGGGGTGAGTGCATCTCCAACTGGACGCGGGGAGGCGGGGCCGGATCGTCCTCGTGAGGGTATAGATGGGCTTCTTGACTCAGACCACAGCAACCCTGGGGCTTGTGTAGATAGTGATGATGAGTTGTATTCGTTGCGATAGATGGAGCGGTCGGCGGGAGTGCTTGGTTGCGTCCCCAGGGAAGAGGAGGCGGCGGAGCGACGATTGCGTCTAGACAGCGAAAAGAGCTTTTTCGTTCTCTTCCACAATGATCTCCTTTCCTTCGAACCAGATGCGACCCCAGAAAAGGAAGGGTCGAGACGACGCATCTCTTCCATCAGCTCTTCCATCTGCCTCTGAAGTTCTAGCAGTCTATCGTCAAAGACTTGGCTCACCGAGGAGAATCTAGATGCGTCGGCCTCGCTATCACCCGAGGCGCTGGGAATCTCTGATAACTCCCTACCTGTTTTCCCTCCACGCGACCTGAGCAGCTTGATGATTTCCTCGTGTCCTGATGCTATGGCACGGTCGAGGGCTGTTTCAGTCGTGTCCGAAAGGCAATTGGGGTCTGCCCGGGTGGGATGTTTGTCCCAATCAAGAAGGAGCTTGGTTGCTTCGTAGTGGCCATTTCCTGCTGCCCAGTGCTATTCGAAGTGATTAGTCGTGCGAGCAAACGAATTGAATGTTTTTACTTACAAGAGGCGTCCAACCATACGGTGTCGGAATTCCTGGTGTTGTACCAGCGGCGAGTATGGTCAACATGGATTCGATGTGTCCACCAGCAGCAGCAGTGTAAAGACCAGACACGCCGTCGTGATCACGTGTATCTGGATCTCCTCCGCGACGAATAAGTAAATCGCCGATATCTTGATGTGTCGGCTTGTCGCATATAGTGTGCCACGGTGTACGGCCAGCTTTGTTCTTGATACCGGGATCCGCTCCATGGTCGAGCAGATACTGTACCAGATGTATGCTGTTCCAGCGTGCGGCCCGATGTAAGGCGGTATTTCCCGCTCCATCGTACCTGTTGACATCTACACCGTGTTCCAAGAGTCGTTCGATGATTCTGTCGTGCTCGTTTCCGGACACGGAAACGCCCTGGGCTGCTCCACTGACGAGGGATGAATCCCCTGTGAGCCGCTTTCGTTCCACTGCTACCAAGAAAGCAGTGATGAACAAATCGGGATGGACTCCGATCTTGGCACATCTCGATAACGCGCTCGCGAAATGTTCGAAGTGACCGTCGTATGCGCTTTTGAGGAGCAGAACCCCTTTTGCCTTCTTTGAGAATAGCTTTTTCTTGGCTTCTGCTACGGCATCGTTTAGCGCTTTCTCTGCGATACATGCGTAGTTGCGATCGGTTCCGGCGGGCTGAGTCATGGTGTGGAGTAGTACCTCCCAGCCTGCTGGAGATTTGCAGTCAAAGGCTGCACCGTGCTGCAGTAGGGTATTTACCACTTCTGCACATCCCAGTTTCATCGCTATCGTCAGCGCAGTGTCGCCCTTACTATTTGCGTAGTCGATGTGAGCATCGAACGTAAGCAAGGCACTGACTACAAATTGCGATCCCAGGAGTGCACCAAACGCTAGCGGACCTGTATTCGTAGGTGCGGTATCGTAATTCAGCGTTTTCGCATATTTCGATTCGCGGAAGAATAACTCGCGTACCAGCGGGTTATTCGCGGCGGCCACAAGGAGCTGTCGAAGATCAGGGCTCATAACACACGATTCGAGATTCCGCAAAGTTGAACCAGACCTTGCAGGCTGCTGAAACTCGTGGTGTATTGATGACATGTTACGGAGCTCTAGCCCCATCGGCACCGATAAAGTGACTTGGTCCGCGTGAAAGGTAACGTTGGGTTGATCCTCAACGAGTCGAATTTGGTCCCCAAGAACCGCCAGAGCAAAGCTTGTAAAGGGGTGTTCGGCGAATTCAGCGATGGTTGGAAAGACCTCCGTGCCGAGAAATGACAGATGCTTCGCGCATACAGAAATTATATCCTGCGCTGCCTCCGGGAAATCGCACCATTGAACGCGGTCGAAGTACGTGCGAGCAGTCTGATGAGATGAAGAGACATATCCAGACTCTTCATGCACTGACACAAGAAGACGAGTATATCCCTTGATATCCGTCGGACTCATAAAGTCTCTGTCCAGGGGCGGGCTCGTGGCGTCGATATTCAGCGCGGTGGCATACTGGAGCGCTTTCAAACTCAAACGCTGCCTTGAGAAGTATACCAAGCCGAGGATCTTGAGGCCTATCTGTCTTCTCTTCCAGTTATCATGACTGCCAGAGGTTCGCAAATTGATCAACTCGTCGCGGTAAAAGTCGTCTATCGTCATACTGGGGAGATCGGAAAGTGTTTGCTCCAGGCCTCCAAGTGTGCTTTCATCGGCAAGGCGTTTCATGTGAGCCCAAGCAATGAAAAACCTAATTTTGTCAACAATGATGCACTTGAATGACACGGAGACATGACTTACATCTTGTCGCTAACCTTGAGAACAGCGGACTTGATCGTCTCACGAAGTGCCGGATCGGCACGCTCGTATTCAAGAAGCCTTGGTGAAGCATTGATCTTGTTGTCGATGAACTGTTTGATGTCGTCATCATGCGCCAGTACCGCGGAGCTCTTGCAGTTCTGAAATCGTGTAGCGAAATCGTCCATCGGCCTGAATGTCACATACATCTTGATCTTCGACGAGCGCTCGGCCTGAAGCCTCGAAATGAAGTCTAACAACCTCTTCCGGTGCATGTATGGGTATTCTTCTAGTCCGTCGACAATGATATAGAAAGCGCGGAGTGACTGGCACAACGAATCGAACGCTTTAAAGACCACTTCATCGGATAGAAACATGTTTTCGCGTATCATTCGATGCAATACAGCGACTGAATCGTGTCGAAGACCGGATCCCTGACATTGCCATTCAAGATCTTCGAAGAGGTGGAGAATCAAATCTTGGGAAGACTGGACCTTCATATCTCCATGACCCAGGTAGAGAGCTGAGATGGCCAGTTCGTGAGGCTTAGCAAAGGAATTCCGAAGACCCGCCAAATGATTCTTGACGGACACAGCTCGGCGGGTCTTTCCCACCCCTGGATAGCCAGGGCATGCCAGGGTTTCGTTCCCGGAATCGAAGTCGTCACGGAACTCACAGAAACGGTGTGCGAATTCTGTCAGTGGGGTGTTGGTGTACAACCAGCCCCCTGTGTCTCTGGCGTCTTCATTGCGATCATTCGTGGTCTCCACCGCGTTATGAATGCGCTGCAGGTAAGCCTTCTTGCTGTCTATTTGCACTTGAGTTAGCTACAGTTCCAGTAAATTGATAGAGCGCAGCGGTATACCTTTGGAGTTCACGTTGTTTGTCCCTCCGTTGATGTGGACGAAGGTGTTTATGGAGCAATGAGAGACTGAATGGTGATCCGACAACCCCGAGTCCGTCATCGAGACTACGTTTGCCATCTCGTTGATGGAGAGTGATGAAACAATGGATGACTTTCAGAATCGATGTCGCCAACTTCGTAAAAGGCGAAGCTCGTTGGGTTGCAAATCTACCCCGAGAGAGAGCGAAAGCGGCGGATTTATGAGAATAACATGGCCGCATAAAGGAGTCACCCTGACGGCGCAGATCGATGATGCGGTAGTGCTCAACAGCGTTCCTAGTCACTCTAGCTGATGGTTGCGCGAATGTCGTGGAGGTAGCTTAAGCAACCAGGCTAGGCTCCATCGTCCCTCAGTGGATCCTGGGGCGGTCTCGCCAGTACATGGCGACCAATGTAAAAAGCGACTTTCAGCCGTTCACGTGACCATTCGGTCTGTTTGCGCGGCTCCTAGGGGCTTCTCTAGTCTCGACGAGTGAGTGACAAGGTGTCACTGGGTGGCGGCGGCAGTGCATGTTGTTAAGCGAACTCCGAAGGTAAAGTTTGAGTACCGAACGTCGAGTATCGAACGTTGAGTGTCGAGTGTCGAACGTCGAGTGTCGAGTGTCGAACGTCGAGTGTTGAATGTCGAACGTCGAACCCCGCTCTCGGTTAAGCGCGCTAGAGGCGCGCTAACGTATTTCGGCGAGGCGGGTCCTCGTCGATAGCAGACCATTTGCCAATATCCCAGCATGATTTTGTTCTAGGAATAATATTGAGGTTACCCTTGAACCGATTCATCTAGCATTTCGTCCCGCCGGACGGCTTAGCTGCATGTTGGCGAAGTCTGGGATTCAGGACGCCACACAAGCGATATGCAGCATGCCAGCTTGAGAGAGACGCATAGTGACCAGCAGTGGAAACACTGGACTTATAAGCCCTTCCAACGCCGGTGCTCGTCTTGCTATCATCCCTTAAAACCCTCCAGCTTTCGCCATATAATCCCTGACCAGCAACCCAACTACGCTTTCAGACCACAATAGCAGCCCATCAGCAGTCATGGACTCAAAGTAAGAGATCCCAGCGCTCTTACTGCTACATCATGTAACCGGGTAATAGTCGTTCGTCAACAGGCCCTTTTGGCTGGGAATTTATAAGGTGTCCGGATAGCTGCAAGTGCGAGTATGTCACGACCTCTCCTCCGATGGCAAGTGCTGACGACCATAGCATTGTATTCCTCCACGGTCTGACCGGAGGTCGACTGACTACGTTCACGCATGGGAACGGAAAGTGTTGGCCTCGAGACTTCTTGCCCCAGGTCCTCCCTAACGCACGAATCATGTCATACGGCTACGACGCCAATGTGGTCAGTCTCGGAGCCATGGCCGGTCAAACCTCGCTGGAGGGGAATGCAAAGTTGCTCCTGGAGGCGCTTGTCGCAGAGAGACAGGATGTGGCAAGGCCATTGATATTCGTTACTCACAGTCTTGGCGGACTGCTTTGTAAACAGGCTCTCCTCATGGCTCACAACCGACCTGAATATAAGTCCATCTTCGACGCCTACGCTGGCATCGTGTTCATCGGAACGCCACACAAAGGGTCAAAGCAAGCAAAGCTTGGGAATCTGTTCGTTAGCTTCATCAACATCTTCCGCTCGGCGAATACGGAGATTGTCGGTATGCTGAAGCTACAGTCAAAGCCGCTGTTGATGCTGGACGACGATTTCTGGGCGTTGATGGATGGCGAAAAGAAGAACTGCGCGGTCCACTGTTACAACGAATCGGCTCCTATGAGTACTACTCTTGGTTTCATCGTTGATCCTGTCTCAGCAGCTCGACCAGGCGGAAGCAGCTCCCCACTCCATGGGAACCACAGTTCAATGCTCAAGTTTGCGACCGATCAAGACAACGGATATCTCACACTTTCCACCAAGCTGAAGGGCTGGTACAATAACCTACCATCTTCGACATTGGTCAGCACCAGTAACGCTCCAACTCAACCACCGTCCCCGAGTAAAGCTGATGCCCGAAACGTCGGGTCATCCACTCAAGCCGATTGTGCAAGTGCACCTGCGGCTGGAAGGGACGCGGGCGCCCCACGTCCTCGGTCCAACAAAGCTGTTTCCGCATCGTCATCTAACGACAAAGCCCGAGACGAGAAGGAAGGTCGTGGAGGTTTTCGCGACTGTACCTTCAGTGGCCCAGGCAACTTCATACCCTGGATGGACAATCACCATATCGTGAACATCAATTCACACGCACATCCCAAGTCGCCGGCGCGTTTCAATTCACCGGCGCATACCAATGAATCGGCGCGTGCCAGTACACCAGATGAACATTGAGTCGAGCTCTGAGACCAGCGTGTTGCGCGATAACGTAGGCGAACAGGGAACATATTCGAACGTTTAGCATCCAGTAGAGATAGTAGTAACTTTTCAACATTTTCGCTTACGCTTCATGATTTGACCTCCTCCCCCGCCCTCAAACACGAACCAACAGTTGCATAACCCTCAGAACTCGGAATCACATCCGAGACCATAAGTTTGTGGGGTACAAGGATGAAAGCGACTACGCGAAACACATCTGACACGCGGCGACTTTATGCCAACAGGGCAGTATTTGCGAACGCCAAAATGCGAGCCAACCAAGCCAGCGATTGAGACGATGATCGTGTGGCTTGGAAGCCTGAGAAGTAAGGGTCGTGTGATTGGGGACGAGGCTTGTTTATGCGATGGCGATGACGGGATATGGCGGCTAGATGCTGATAAACAGTCGGTGCAGTAGTATAGGAAGGAGAGGCGTGAACGCTGCGTCTGAGGGTAGTTGCTTTCTTCTAATCTGTCGCGGAGTTGTTATTCCGTTATTTTATTCTTGCGATATGGAGCTGCGATCTAGACAGCTGATGCCCGGTCCTGAGCGCAACGATACTCAAGCGCCTCTTCTTCTCGGTGTATGTGGGAGTCTTACACTCTTTGCTGTCCTGCTACTCTCTGCACGACTTTGGTCGAGAGTGCGGCCTTTCTGGAATCTGCACATGGATGACTGGACGGCGGTTGCAGCGACGGTAAGGCGGAATCTTCTCCCAACGAGGGCAGCACTGACTTCGTATATCCACAGGTCCTTGCGATAGCAAAATATGTCATCGTCTGCCTAGCATGTTCCTATGGCTTCGGCCAGCGGACAAAATATGTCTCGGCAGACTCGCGTCTCGCAGCCATGCGACTCGTCTTCTATTGCCAAGCTCTCTGGAACTTTTCCATCGGACTCGTCAAAATCTCAGTCGCCCTTCTCTTGCTCCGCATCAAGCAGACACGTCCCTGGCGCATCTTCCTGTCTTTTACAATCGTACTACTTATCCTCACGACTATAACCTCGACGCTGTTTCAGTTTCTGCAATGCCGGCCATTCAGCATATACTGGGATCCCAGCATCTTTTTGACGCAGGAAGTGGAGTGCTTGCCACAAGAAGCCATCGTTGGGAACATCGTTGCCGCGAGCGCTGTGCATATCTCGACCGACCTCATATTCTCGCTGATACCGATAACCTTTATCCGGAAACTACAGCGGCCGCGTGGCGAAAAGATCTTCCTGGGTGTTCTGATGGGCCTTGGACTGTTCGCTTCATCCTTCGCCATCCTGCGTACTGTCAAGGCCAGTATGATACCACCGGGTGGTGACGTCTTTTTCATGACAGTCGCGCCTACGTTATGGTCGATGCTGGAACTCGAACTTGCGTTGATCGCTGCTACAATACCAACGCTCAAGGGTAGTAAGTGACACTCATGTGAACATTATGCTAGACGAATTCTGACACCTACTTTAGTCATGCAGCGGGGTCTCGTAAGGACCGGTCACTACTTCTACGATGAGAAGACCGAGACCCAAGTGCGAAACCGGCTCGTGGACCTCGGATTCCTGGGTCCGAACACCGACGAATTTGTGGAGATGGGGCGGAAAAGATCGAAACCAGATATGACTGATGAGGTTGTAACGTTCGGGAGTGGTTCGAAGCCGCGGAAAGCGAAAGACGAGTATAGGTTCTCGGTGGATGAGCTTACTCTGGTGGAGAGTGAGGGCCACGCGACAACACGGGACTTGCGGGCGTTCGGGCCCTGAAGACGCGCTGAAGATGATGGAACTTACCCACTCAAACATCGAGGCGCATCATCGCATGCCAGATGTTCCACAGCGCCGTTGCTGATTCAACCGCTATGAAGGCGTTGCCAGGTGGTCAAATCACAACACTTTCCTCACCCACGCTCAGCTATGTCTTGCAGGATGTTGGCGAGCGCACGGCACCTAATCACCAAATGCCTGCTCAAGCACATCCTGTCCAACGCGGGAGCCGAGTCTGAGATCGATCGAGCCGAGTGATGGACTCTTGGTATGGTAGCGGAAGTACGGAGTCGGGCGGCCAGAGGAGGGAAGTTTATCTGACATGGGATTGGGTATGAAAGCGCGAGAGGTGATCTGCAGGTTTGAGGATATGCGAGGAAGCTGTAATATTATTATACCTAAATCGGTCGCGCACGCACAGAAAGCAAGGGTATCTCTTACTCGGACACAAAATATCGTCACCCAACTCATTCCTTCTTTAGAACATCTACGATCCACTGGCAGGCATCCTTTGCCTCGACCAGTCCATACGGCATTGTCAGAACGAAGCAGTGCATTTGCTTCTCCCAGTGCACCCACTCGCCAATGACACCGTGTTCCTCGCATTTCTTGCGAAAGATGACGCCGTCCGGGCTTAATACATCGCATCCAGCAGTTATTCCATGCACCTTAATGCCCTTCTTCGCGAGTAGTGAAATGTCGGCATTAATAGGGGATATGCGGCGATCGGCGGCGTCCCAGTCTCCGTGCCATGCTTTCGCTGTCGCTCTGATGATCTTGGGTGTGAGGAGAGGGTCTCGAGGTGCCACTTTATCGATATCGGAGTTTTCGCGAGTTAAATCGGTCGATGGGCATACGTTCATGATGGCGACGGGGTGTGGGAGATGCTTGATCTCGACGCCTTCGTTCTCGCTATCCTCCCGTAGGGCCTCCAGCACAAGACACAGAGCAATATTCGCTCCCGAGGAGTCGCCCGCCAGTATAACCTTCTCCCCAGCCTCTTCCGCTTCGGCCATCAAAGCCCGGTATGTCTTTTGGCAGACAGGGAACGACTTGTGCGCGGGGTCGTTGGGCGCAAGAGGTGTCGATACAATCGATATGGAAGTATCGGACATCTCTTTAGCTAACTTGGCGCAGATCTTGTAGTGTTGTGGAGAGGGCGGTTCCTGCCAACTGCCACCGGCGAAGTAGTATATCCGCTTCTTCGAGCTCTTCTCTGCTTTGTTGGGTGGTATGACATCGTATATGTGTATGTCGCATACGGTTCGTTCGCTGAGGGTACACTGGGAGAGGTTCGATTTGCTGGGCTTGAGTCGGATTGAGCCATCCTCGTGGTCTGCTTGGCGGTTGCTGATGCGCGTTCGCATTAGTCGTACCAGAGACTGGACCACAGCCATGAGGAAGGTGCGATCATTGCGATGGGTGAGCTGTATCGAAGAGCCAGTCTTGGCAGTTGGGCTGGGAGTGCTGGCATCTGTCATGGTGGTCATATTGAAGACCGTTGCTGTAAACACGAAGACGGAGGAAGCTCCGTCGCAAGGAACGGAGGAGTGCTGGACGCGTGGGAGCAGGGACGCTTGGGTGGATGCATCTCGTGGCGCAAAGAAAGACGAGCACGCATCGTCGATTACGGGGCCTTAGCAAGCCCACGCGCGCAGGGCGACTCGTTCTCTAGTAAAAAGACGGCACATCAGGGCTTCAATGACGTCGTGACCCAGCGTTTAGGCCAGATAGAGGAGACCCTGACTAAAAGCGGGAAGATATGAACGCTTCCGGGAGTGGGTCGATCTGGAGGTGCTTGCAAAATGTCTCGGCCATCACACAACGGTGAAGGATTGCGGTACGCGTTGCGCAAAAAGCACAATGACGAAGCCATGGGTCGCGCGTGCCGACTGTTCCATGCCAAGCCTGGATTTCTTGGGCAACACCAGGACCGTGCCACTCAACCCTCAACGCGTCTTCAGTCTTCTGGGCCTTGTCAACCGTTGTGCGCTCTTTATACAGACCTCTTTGGATCTGGGACAACGATGCATTCCATGAATGTCGCAATCGCAGCTAGGTCGTCAGATGAGGAATCGTTTCTACGGACTGCACATATCACGGAAGATGCCATGCGACCAATGCTATCATCCGCATAGCGCACGAAAAAGACCTTTGGTTCTAGATCTTGTTTTCGACGTCGGATGCGGCGATGCCAATGCAACTCGTGGCTGAAGACCTCCTCCACATGTCCTTATCTGACGCGCAAGCTTGCATGATCGAAATCCAAGATACCTGGGCGGAAGTCTTGGTGGTACCGCTGAGTGGCTGTGCAGCAGGCGGAGAGTGCGATAGGAAGCAAGTTCCGCTCCGCCAGGGTTACAGGTTGCGTCCGCCGGCGCCAACTCCGTCTTGTCGCCTTGGTATCACATTGATGGATTATTCTCATTGGCGACACTTCATCGCAAGGCCTTGGCCTACGTGCCTGGACCATCAACAAACAAATTAGCTGATCAGGGGACTGACCAAGGGAAGCCTTAAAGGCTATCGTTGCCGTTGAGCCACATGTGGCAGCTGATCCGCAATCTACTCCCAAGCAGATCATACCCTATCCCAGCGCTCCTCGGACGTCGATGGCTCCGCAACAGTCCCTTACGGATGACGAAATCAAGAAGTTCATTGACGATCTCGATCACGACAAAGATGGCAATGTCGACTACTGGGAGCTGGAACGCAAGCTGGATCAAGTACACAAGGAGATAGCACCCAAAGCGCAACCACACAACCTCCACCATGGATCTCGGGGCGACGAGGCTCGGCATGAATTTCTCAGGAATGTCATTGGAACACGAGACGACCACATCGACCGAGAAACCTTCGCAAAGACTGTCAAGACATGGGAGATACCGTCTTTGGAACAAGACCGGAAAGAAGCAAAAGATGAGGACGATTACCTGAAGCAGGTGCCCCTCCACCGGCGTGCGCGCGCTTACTGGGCAGTCAAGGGGCCTGAGATAATGTTCCTTGGCCTGGTACTTGCCTTGATGATAGGGTTTGGTGTCTGGCAATTCGTCAAGTACCTTACCTTCGATCAGTATACGCCTGCGTTCGGATGGGGAGCTGTCTTGTCCAAGACATGCGCCGGTGTGCTGTACCCGACATTCTTCTTTCTGATCCTGTCCATGTCGCGATGGCTCTCGACGTTCCTTCGGCGGTTCTACTTCATCTCCAGGTTCATCAACTGGGACTTGTCGCAGAGCTTTCACATCAAGATGTCCATTGTCGCATTGGTATTTGCGACCTTACATGCCATTGGCCACCTTAGCGGCTCTTTTGTCTTCGGCAGCAAGCCCAATCGGCAGGATGCAGTTGCCAATGTTATCGGACAGGACGCTGTACCACGTTCATACACTGACTACCTTCGATCATTGCCAGGGTGGACTGGTCTCACATCTCTCGGCCTGTTCTACCTCCTCGCATTGATGAGCATGCCCCAGATACGAAAGTGGAGCTACGAGGTCTTCCAGTTAGCTCATCTACTGATGTTTCCCATTATTGGCTTCATGATGGCGCACGGCACTGCTCATCTACTGCAGTGGCCCATGTTCGGCTACTGGCTCGCTTTCCCTACTCTCATGGTTCTCTGCGAACGTGTGTGGCGCTTAATCCTAAGCTTCCGCCCTATCCTT